GCGCGAAATGGAAAAGATTTTACAAGACTTGGACAAGATCGCAATATTCTTCGATGATTTATTACAGGAGCTACGAAGGAAGTGCATGATCAAAATGTAACGAGAGTATTACAGAGACTACAAGAGTGTAGATTAATCTTAAGTAGAGATAAATGTGTATTTGCACAAAACAGCATTGAATTTTTAGGATTTGAGCGCCAAGGGCATTCAAGCTTCAAGCAGGAAAGTTGACGCAATCTTGAATATTAAAAAACCCGAAAACATAAGAGCTCAAATTGTTTTTGGATATGATTGGGATTAATTATTATTCCAAATTTATTAAAAATTATGCAGACATGGTAGGGCCGCTGTACGAGCTTCTTAGGAAAAATAGGAAATGAGGTTGGACAAAGGAGCAAGACTTAATTTTTAAAAAGGCTAAAGAGCACTTAGCATCGCGGGAGATTTTAATACATTATGATACTGGGAGGCCACTTAAAATTACGTGTGATGTATCTCCTATAGAATTAGAGGCAGTTTTGTCATATTCTTGCGGATGGATCGGATAGGCCAATAGCTTTCGCCTCTAAAATATTATCAGTGGCGCATAGAAATTATTCTCAACTTGATAGGGAAACATTAGCTCTGGTATTTGGAGTGAAAACGTTTCACCAGTATGTATACGTCGGTCGTAATTTCATATTAGAAACCGATCATAAACCTCTAACATACATTTTTGGACCAAAGAAAGAAATTCCGCAGATGGCGGCTAATCGAGTGCAAAGATGGGTCGTATTTTTAGCAGGGTATGGCTTTAAAATTAAGCACATTAAGGATAATAGGTCTACTGACAGTCTCTATCGAGAATTGGTAGGGAGGATATTAACGAGTCAGTTGAGTTGAAAGAAACGAAGGAACATACGTATCTAAAAGTAATCGGGGAAGAGGTGCAAAGTGTAGACAGTAGGGAAACTAATAAAGATGCAATTTTGAGGAGAATTCGAGATTTTGTAATGCGGGGTTGACCGGATAAAGTAGATGATTGACTGAAGTCATTCCATAGTCGTCGTTTAGAATTAACATTGGAAGAAGATTGCGTAATGTGGAGATACCGCATTATTATTCCACAGTCTTTGAGAGCTGACTTACTAGAAGAGCTCCACGGAACTCATCTCAGGGTGGTAAAATGAAGGCGTTAGCTCGGTCTTATTTTTGGTGATCTGGTTTAGATAGGGACATCGGAGAGATAACCAAGACATGTAAAGGGTGCTTAAAGAGCGCGGACGATCCCCCAACGGCTTCGTTACATTTATGGAAGTGGCCTCAGGGCCCGAACCATCGCATACATCTAGATTTTTACGGACCGATTAGCGATCATATGTATTTCGTGATAAGCGATGCGTACTCGAAATGGATTGATATTAAAGAAATATGTGATATTTCTTCGGAATCTACACTTAGAGCTTTAAAAGAGTATATAAGCATATGAGGGCTGCCACATCAAATCGTTTCTGATAATGGGCTGGCATTTACGAGCGAGCAGTTTCAAGAATTTGTATTACAAAATATTAAAGCATACGAAAATCATACCGTATCATCTTGCGTCAAACGGGGAGCCTGAGAACGCCGTGTGCACTTTTAATAAGAAGTTTAAAGTATTACTTAAGGATAATACAAGACAGGATGCCTTATATAAATATTTATTTTATTATCGCTCGACATCACATTGTACGACGGAAAAGACACCAGCCGAATTGCACTTAAACAGATGTTTGAGAACGAGACTGGATGTTATTAAACCCAATATTAGAAATAGAGTTGAGCAGAAGCAAAGCAATCAACAACGTTTTTTTAAGGGCAATTATACAGTTACTTTTAGAGTTAAACTTCGTGATGGCTAAAGATTATAGGACAAAGTCGTAGAGACAAGCAGCAATTGTTGAGCAAACTAGTCCAGTTACTTATAATGTTAGAACGGATGACGGACGTATCTGAAGACATCACACTGATCAACTGCGGGTATATAATTTGCGTTATCCGAATCTTGTATGATCGAGGCCTCGGAGCTATCGAAAAACGGTATTTCGCCGGATAGAAATATTTCTGTAACCCCTAACGTAAGAGATAACGGTGATAAGGGCATTATCGACTAATTGTAATGTTAGCGACTACAAAATCACTGTGAACGGTGATATAAGCGCGCGCGAAACAACTTCGAAACCTCCGGGAACCCGCACTGAAGTCGGGAGGCACACAAACCGAGTACCGAAACCTCGGAAAATCTTAAACTTATAAGTGGATTTGTATTTTCTTTTTGTTTTGATTTTTTTTTTTTCAAATTAAGTGTGGAGGAAATTGTAGTGTTAGTCGCTATCACTAGATGTAAAAAGCGCTGCTAGAGTATTTTCTTTTCTTCCCGAGCGGTGCTGTTGTGAGATGCCGTGAGCGAAGCGAGAACAAACTCCCGCTCACTGTTGTAATGGCGGTGCCAAAGATAGCGTGAGATTTTATACAGCAAATATAAGAAGTATATAAAAACGTGGTATTGCCTATTTTAATTGTTGCGGTGACGTTGCAAACATTACACACACACACACACACATATATATATATATATATATATATATATATATATATATATATTTCACTTACTTTTTGCACAGCCTGTGATCTTTTATCAAATATTATGTATTAAAAAATGATTTATTTTATTTATTTATAATGATTATATACTGTTTATGATATCTTTATAGTATCACAGTTGATCACACCTTTATCTACAACGCCATGTTTTGTCAAACTAGAAAGATTCGCCAGACTGCTTATTATAGGGAGTCCTCTAATCGAACTTGGACCGTCACTCCTGTCGATCCTTAACATAGGTTGTATATGGAGCTTTCCATTCTTCTTCTTACTATTCTTTGAAATAATAAAATGAACAAAACGAGCATCAAGCATTTTAGCATCGCATGAAATGACACTTTTATGGGCTGGACACAATGAAAGAAATAAAGAATAGGGAACAGAGAAAATTTTAACCTATCAGAAACTGTGTATTGTTACATCTCAGGGTTCGATCGGCAGATAGCCGGGATCCGAACAGACCTGGGATTATCGATGGGTGCAAGGCGTACATTTTTGCGGGAGCGCGGAATTAAGATTTGTCCAATTTAAAGTTTAAGATAAATAAACAAACAAAACGGCGAAAGAAGAGTCATTAGATTATAAAACATTTAATTAATTAAAAATATTAGGCGAAGATACATGAACCGATACGGAGCGGCGCATATAAATGTATAAATGTATAAAAAAACATAACAAGTTTCGGCTACA